CACCCAAGTACTTGTAGCTGGAGACCACTTCCACCGCAGATCCTCTTACGTTCAGGGGGGTGTAGGTGTTTTTGTTCCTTCTGAAGTCCACAATCATCTCCTTTGTCTTCTTCACATTGATGTGAAGGTTGTTCTGTTTGCACCAGCTCTCCAGGTGTTCCACCTCTTGCCTGTAGCTGGACTCATCATTGTTTGTGATGCATCCCACCACCGCTGTATCATCTGCAAACTTTCAGACATTAAAACAATCCTTCAGCTGTTTTATCAGCTCAAACATCAGATTCAGACTTTGGACTCGGTGGACGAGAAAAACATATAAAACTGTTGAAAAACAAATAATGTATTTTTTTTTTACAGAGGCAGAAGAGGTAAAGCAGAATTATTATCTCAGCACAAAGCAGCTTCTTTCAGTCTGACATGGGAACGGCTCCTTCTTACGAGACTTTTGCGTGTCATTTATAAATGTTTCATTTCAGTTTGTCGTTGTCGACCCAAGCGGACTCGCTTCTCGTGCATATGTACGAGTGCGTTCGCTCTCATCCCTTGTTCATTGTCATCAATAACAGCTGAGCCTTGTTCCCACTCAGAGAGTGGTCCGTTCTGGTGCCGACAGGCCGAGGAGGACCTGAAGCTTCAAACGCCGAGCCGAGAGTCCTGCTGAAGAAAACTGACGAACGGAACGTGATGTTTTTCTTTTCAGAGGAAAAACTGACGACTGCGTCACTAAAAAAGGCGAGACAGAAGTCAGAGCCTCAAATTATTCATAAAAATATAATACAATGCCAGAGTGGAAAGACATCAGCAATGACTGTAAGAAAGCAACTGCTGCTGGCCTTCAGTCTGAGAAGAGCCAACGATCATCTGGAGTCCGTTGTTCTAGAGAGAAACATTATCCACGAGCAAAACATTTAAGACAGCTGACAGTCTTCCCAGAAGTGGCAACAGATTCACCCTGAAGGTCAGACAGTGCAGTGGGCTCCATCTCAGACTTTACAGGCCAGAAGATCGAAGGTCAGAGGTCACGACTGGACAAAATCTTCATCCCATTTGACCAGAAATACACGACGTTCAGCCACAGGGAACATGCTGCTGACGCCAGGCAGACATTTAGTTCTGCTGCTTTGTTTATTGTTGTTGTTTTCCAAATAAAATAAAATAAAAATATGAATACTTGTTAAAAACAGGAAGTCTGGCTGCAGGAAACCATCAGGAGGAAGTTGTAGTTTCCTGTGTTGCTTTTTAAGGCTATTATTTGGGAAGGATAAAATATGTATAAGTAGTTTATGAAGAAGAGAGGTTGAGATCTGAACCACAAGACTTCTGGACCAGAACCAGACCAGAGGACAAATGTTTACCCAGAATGCACTGCAGCAAACAGCTCCTCTCAGCTGTCAGCATGGTGGTAGAGGCTGATGATTTGGGCTTCTGTCAGTCTCTGAGTGGATCAAGAACTCCTCTAGAGACCAAAGGGTTCTCATCTGTCCAACCGGACCAAACTGGGTCCAACAGGACCATGATCCCAAACACAGCAGCTGATCTACAACAGAACCAAGGAGTCCAGAACCTCAGCCTGACTGAAATGCTGTGATGGACCTTCAGAGGGAACTGAAACAATACTGGAAAGAAGAGTGGACCAAAGTCCTCCAGAACCACGAGAGAGAGAGAGACTGAAACAGAAAACCACTGAGGGTTCTGCTGCTCGTTTAATGTTTATTTTACAGCACAATTCAGTTCAGTTTATTTATAAAGCACCAAGTCACAACAGAAGTCATCTCAGGACACTGAACAGAAACATTCATATATAAAAATAATAATTTAACATTATTTATTTGAGGACCAGACTGCTTTGAATTTAACTTCATCACAGAACTCTCATCCTGAGCAAGCATGAAGGAGACAGTGGAAAGGAAAAACTCCCTCATGAGGAAGAAACCTTAAACAGAACCAGACTCAGGACAAGCGGCCATCTGCTTCAACCAGCTGGGTTAGGATTTATCAAAAAGGAAAGTCTTAATCCCAGTCTTCAAACTGGACAATGTGTCAGCCTCATGGACAGAAACTGGAAGTTGGTTCCACAAGAGAGGAGCCTGATAACTGAAAGATCTTCCTCCCATTCTGCTTTTGGAAACTCTAGGAACCAAAAGTAAACCTGCAGTCTGAGAGTGAAGTGTTCTGTTAGAAAAATATGGAACAATAAGATCTGTAATATAAGATGGAGCTAGGTTGTTGAGAGCTTTGTAGGTTAGAAGTAAGATTTTGAATTAAATTCTGGATTTGACAGGGAGCCAATGGAGAGAAGCTAAAACTGGAGAGATATGATCTCTCCCACTAACTCCAGTTAAGACTCTGGTAGCAGCATTTTAGATCAACTGAAGAGGTTTTAAAGACGTATTTGGACACCCAGATAATAAACCATTGCAATAGTCCAGTCTAGACGGGACAAATGCATGGACCAGTTTTTCTGCGTCATTTTTAGATATTTCTAATTTTAGTGATATTACGCAGGTGGAAGAAAGTGGTTCTAGTAACGTTTTTAATGCGGGGGATAAAAGACATGTCCTGATCAAAAATAACACCAAGATTTTTAACATTAGAGCTGGAGGACAGATTAATGCCATCCAAGGAGGGAGAAAGACTGAAAAAATGATTCCTAAGATGCTCAGGTCCAAAAACTAAAATCTCCGTCTTGTTTTGGTTTAAATGCAGAAAATTTAGGGTCATCCAGGTTTTTATGTCTTTAAGACATGCTTGTAGTCTAAGTAACTGATTGGATTCATTGGGTTTCTTGAACAAATATAACTGTATCATAATGAAAATTTATCCCATGCTGTTTAATAACTTTATCTAATGCAAGCATATGGTAAAGAGTATTGGTCCAAGCACTGAACCCTGAGGAACTCCATGACTAACTTTGGTGTATGAAGAAGATTCATTATTTGCATTTAGCTGAAACCTAAAATCCGGTTTTAGAGCGAACCTGAACGACATAGATCAGGAGGAACGCTTCTTCATGGGACTGGACTTTAGGAAATCAGTTTCCTTTAGTTGTTCTTCAGTGTTGATATGAAGCTTTTCTGAGTCCTCCACCCCCAAACTTTATTATTTTATCACAGTTAAAGGAAGTCTTTGAGCAGCTTGGAGCTTAGATAAAACACAACTGCTGCTGAGGAAATCAGGAAGTCCAATTCCTGAAAGCGTCTTTGCAGCGGATTGCTCCGGTCTCCGTAAACACCCCAGACTTCCTGCCGTTGCAGCTAAAGGAACAGCCGAGGCCTTTCCTGAACCGCAGCTCCTGTACAGACGTGAGGATTGTCGTAGGTGGAAAAGATTCATCCCGAGCTTCGTTCCTTTCCTCTGACTCACCTTAAAGGAACATTCCCCCGGTGTGCTCACGCACGCTCGCTTGTTTACCGTATTTTCTATGTGCATCTCATTGCGTTAACACGGTATAAACTGTGCCTGGAGGGTTGTGCAGCATGAAGGGTTCCTCAGTCTTCAGAGCTGAACAATGGAGGTGGGCAGGATGTAACGTGAGGCCTGAGCTCATGTACAGATGGAGGATTTTATATTTCTGGCATGGTGTCAGATCAAAGCTCACACTACTCTGTTTTTATTTAAACCGTCAAAATAAAATCGAAGAACAGAAGTTTAACTGTCAAACTCAGGATCTGTCAACATTTAGCTGTCGAGGAATAAAATGCATATAAACTGTTTTAAAGTTGAAAGTATGTTGGTGCAAATTAGAAGTTGACACGTTTGTCTGACTCACAAAAGAAGTTTGACCACATTTTAATGAGGTTTTACGCTCAAAATTTAAAATAAACTCCCGTATTTATGTAAATAACTGTCTGCGATTCAAGCTGGTTTTATTGTGTGAATGTTTATGAAGCATTCACTCTATTGTGATCCATTTTTCTTCCTACGTTGTTCTGCATCGTTCTCGTTCCACAATTTTTGTTCTATTTCAACAAAATCGTAAATCAAAACGTTCAGCTCATTCAGGACAATGTAGCTATGACTTTTAGCATTGATGCAGCTTTAGCTTTTTGAAATATTTAGCCTTTTCTGCCATTTTTTTCCTCATAGAAAATGAACCGAGCTCATTTTACATCCTTCAAATCTTTAGATCTGTTTTTAGCCTTTTACTGCTCCTTTCACATTTTATTCTGCTTCAGCTTCTTTCAGCTTCCACATTTAAACATTTCAGCTACTTTTAGCTAATTTCAGCTGCTTTGTGCTCTTTTCAGATTCTTTCTGCTAACTACAGCATTTTTGTGTTTCTTCTAACTTCTTTTTGCTAATTTCAGCTTGTTATGCTCCTTTCAGGTTATTTATGCAATTTTCTGTTTTTTTCCCCTGCTATTTCAGCTACTATTTAGCTTTTTTATTGCTAATTTTAGCTTTTTTGACTAATTCCACATTTTTTTGCACTCATTTCAACATTTTCAGCCTAATTCAGCAAAAATGTGCTCTCTCCACTTCCTACTGGTAATTTAGGTGTCATTCTGCAATTTTAGCTACTTTTCAGCTGTTTTGTTGTTGTTGTTGCTAATTTAAGATTTTTCAGATAGTTTCCACTTTTTGTGCTAATTTCTGCTTCTTTCAGCCTAACTAGGCAAACATGTTCTTTCTCCTTTCTTATGCTAATTTAAGTTTGTTCTACTTTTTTAGTTACCCTTTTTAGCATCTTTAGCTAATTTAAGCTGTTTTCAGATAAATTCAAGTTTTTTTTCTGGTAATTTTTGCCAATGTCAGTCTAATTAACTTCTTTATCCTAATTTCAGCTTGTTATGATCCTTTCAACTTTTTCTGCTATTTTTAGCTGTTTTATGCTAAATTCAGCTTTTTTGAGCTAATTCCACATTTTTAAGCTCATTTCAGCTCTTTCTACTTCCTTCTGGTAGTTTAAGCTTCTTTGTGCCTTTTCAGCTAGTTTTCAACTGTTTTGCTAACTTCAGCTGTATTTAACTAGTTTCCTATTTTTTGTGCTAATTTCTGCTAATTTTAAACCCAGATAAGCAAGCATGTGTTCTTTCTGCTCTCTTCTGCTAATTTAAGTTTGTTCTTCCGTTTCAGCTAAATTCTAGCTGTTTTTTTAGCAAGTTCTTCTGCAATAAGCATCCACACTGAATTTTCACAGAACATGCAATTTATCTAATTATTCTGTTAAAAAAAATCACCTGCGTCTCGTTGCACAGATTTCAAGTAAAACGTGGAAATTAAATCCAAGCGAGCAGCTCGGTCAGGTATAGCTGCGACGGTTGGTGGCGGCACATCCCGACACATAGCCGAAGTTTTCAGCAAACGGCGAGATCCGTGGCATTTTGGTGAAACCAGCCTCGTTCGTGCAGCAGAACCACGACTCTGAGTTTAAACGGATCGCAGACGGTTGGACTTGAAGCTTCGCTGCTGTTCTGAGATCTTTTACGGTTTTTGCGCGCTCGCAGGGTTTTCAACCGTCAACGTTTGTGACTGTCACAGGTTTCTGCTGCTCACGAGTTAAGAATATTGAAGACGTCGTGTTTAGTTTTTGTGCAGCAGATGTTTGTTTGAGACTTACTTTTCAGTCTGTTTGTCTGCGTCTCATTAACTTGGCAGTCAGGGAGTGACGAGTGCAGGTGTTTGGTAACCATGGTGACCATAACGAGCCTCAGAAGCTCTTGGCAGCAGCCGCATCGAAATGTTTCAAAGTTTGCTCAACTTGTCTGGGGACCTTTAAACATTTCAGGATTGTTGTTTGGGCGACGGCTTTGGTTTAGACAGTTTTATTTGTTGTTGGGGTTTTTTTTTTTACACCAAATTGATTGCAGAGATTTTAACACTCAGTTTTGTGTGTCAGCAGAATTGTGCAATGAGCTGTGACTTTTTTTTTTTTTTTACAGTAAAACGATTTGTATTTGTTTTCTGGAAGCAGCTGTGATGCCTTCAGGTGCTGGTTTTTAATGTGTGTGTTGGTCCACAGACCAGGTGCTGGAGAAAGCCATGCACAAGTGTGTCCTGAAGCCTCTGAAGAGCATCATCGAGGCCGTTCTGCACGACTTCCAGGTGAGTCACGAGCCACCGCCCTTTCCCTCGTCGCTGCAGCGGGGTGGGGACAGAGTGAATTATGGGTAATCTTTGGGTTTGTCCTGGTGCAGGTGAGCAGCGGAGCCTGGCAGCAGCTCAGGGAAAACCTGGCCTTGGCCAAGACCAAGAGACCTCAGGAGATGGGGGTTGACGGCGCCATGCCGCCGGACTCGGTGGCCATCGAGAAGATCCGGCAGAAGTTCCTCAACATGAGGAAGGTGTACTCGCCCGAGAAGAAGGTGTCGCTGCTGCTGCGAGTGTGTAAACTCATCTACACCATCATGCAGGACCACTCGGGTACAGAGACGTCTCTCATGTCTGAGTCCAATCCGCCCGTCCTGACCGGGCGACGGTCGCAGCTCTTGACGCTCCGTCTGCTTCTCGCAGGGCGGATGTACGGGGCGGACGACTTCCTGCCCATGCTGACGTACGTGGTGGCTCAGTGCGACACGCCGCAGCTCGACGCCGAGATCCAGTACATGATGGAGCTGCTGGACCCGTCTCTGCTCCAAGGAGAAGGTAGGTTCTGTCCACAGGGGGGCGGTGAATCACATTTAAACACGGCTCGTACAACATGCAGTTAAAAACACGAGTGAAATCAAACCAGGTGATAAAAAAAACAGTCAAATGCACAAGATCTGATCAAATGATACGATCAGTGAAACCTACAAAAATAAAAACCAGGTAAAATAAATAAAATTGACCCTTTACAAAGTGTTAAAACAGGTGGGTTTTAAGAGGAGTTTTAAAAATGGATGAGGAAGAGATGGAGGAGCAGCTCGGTCCACAGTTTAGGAGCTGCTGCAGCAAAATCTTGACACCCCCCCCCCCCCCCCGCTGAGGTAGTTCAGAGAGATAGGGTGGGGCAAAGCCATTTAAAGACTTTAAAACAAAAATAAAAGTATTTTAAAATGCAGGGCAGCCGGTGGAGTGAGGGTAAGATGGGACAGATGTGCTCATGTTGACATGTGACAGTTAAAATCGTTCCTGCAGCACGTTGGACCCTCTGCAGACGGGCCATGGAGGAGAGCCCCAGATGAAGTGTGTTACAGTACAATATTTTGGGACTACAAGGCGCACTTAAAGGAGGGAGTAGTTTTTTTTTTTTCCACCACTCTCACTTTGTCGCGTGCGTTCCTAATAAGTTATGAACAAATATGGCCGCCTTGTCATTTTGGGAGCCATGCATGAGCCGTGTCTCTCTCCTCTGCGGCTGACGCGATACATAAACTCCGACCGTCACCTCCTCCGTCCTCCGCTGCTGTTTTTATGTCCACGCGCTCTGGACGTCACTCACAGCGCGCGTGCAACAAAGAGTGAACTCAAGCGAGAGCGACACCTGCCCCCTCTTTCCTCTTTTGCGTTGACTAAATGTTTTAGTTTTATCGATGAGTTTGTCAAAGCACAATTTACAGAAGTAATGTAAAGGACTTGCGACCCGTCCAGGGTGTACCTCGCACAGTGATTGCTGGACATGGGCACCAGCGACCCCCGTGACCCAAAATGGAATAAACGAGTAAAGATAATGGATGGATGGATGTTTAATAAATGCTAGGACTTGATTCTTTGCTAACAAAATTAATTCACCTCCTCAGTTAAGCTGCTGTTTTTTGATTCTCTGGACGCTTGTCACTCACAGCACGCAGGCGACAAAGAGTAACTCAAAGCAAGAGGGTTACCTGCCCCCTCTTTCCTCTTCCCTCTTTCCTCTTTCGCGTTGACAATTTTTTTTGTTTGTTTTATCGATGAATGTGCTCATTGATCCGGACTTCCTCATTTCGATTATTAAAAAAATCAGCATAAATTGTTTTATTCGTTTTTGTTTTGTAGGTCAAAGTGTTTTATATAACACTCCTGAGTTAAAATGTTGCTGATCAATTTTAATTTATTATTATTTATTGATTAGATTTTATTTTTCAGTATCAAATGGTACAAAATGTTTACAGTTTAAAGAAGAATTGATTTTTTTTACAGGCAAATTGATACAGACTAAATAAAAACCAATGCTAATTCTTCCTTGTAAGTTGATCTATGTTCTTTTTTCCTTTAATGTAAATAAGGACACAGTGTTAGGTGGAGGTGTACTTATAACATTTTTATAGACACACTATTTACACTTGTCCCGGGGCGGGGGGCGTGTGGGGGAAGCGCAAAGTGTTTTCTTCTTCGGGGGGGGCATAAGAGAAAATAATGGAGAAGCACTGGCCTAACTCCAGTTAAGACTCTGGGAGCAGCATTTTGCATCAACTGAAGACTGGTGGGTCAACACCAGACGACGAACTACTATTGATCAGTGTGTTGTTCAGTCTGTTCACATTTCTTTAGCTGAATTTGAACAAAACACCAAATTTAAGCCGGTTTGGCAGAAAGTAGGATTACAGCTCCAACAAGGAGATGATCAGCTGATCCGTCAGGTATTTCACGTCTTAAGGGATTCAGATAGATTCATCTGCCGTCGTCTTTTAGGGTGTGCACACTTACGCAACCGGCTTATTCCATGTTTTATTTTGAATGTTGAACTGCACAGCGCACGAGCTGCAGGAAAGGAGAACAAAGTACGAGATGATTTATTGCGGTTCCGTTACTTTTACCTCTCGTGAACTTGCCGTTTTCACCTGAGGGCGGAGACTTTCTATGTTTACTGTAAAAGCAGCCGGTAGCTCGGGGAACATCGCGGAGAGGATTTGTCCTGAAGTGTCGATTCAGAAATGTGACGTCAGCGACGATTCCTCAGAAAAGACTTTGTGAAATCCGTGGTTTTCAGAAGAACTTGGATTGTTTCGGTTTCTTTGCTCGGACGTTTTATTGGTTTGATCATCTCCCACAAACTTTAGCAGACAAATTAATGAATATTATAAAAACTCCTGGTTTCCAGTTTCATTCATACAAAGAAGCTGATGGGCAAAGTAATTTAAATCAGCTCCAGCTGATGGTTTTTGCCGGATTATTCGTAAACTTTGACGTAGTGTCACATTTTATAAACATTTAAGCAGAAACAGGATGATATTTCTGCAGGAAGTTCCCCCAGTCTGCACAGGAAGTGCCGCAGAACTCCATGTAAATAACAGCGTAATGAAAAACTGACATTTTCTTTAAAACAGCAGCTTATTCTAATCAGAAATAAACTTTTTCCCCTAAACTGAGGCTTCTCAAAGAGCTATCTTCAACAGGTAAATAAAACCCCACTTCAAAATGTTCCAACTATCCCTTTAATTCTGTTCTAATGTTTCTGGGACGTCCTTAAATTAGATTAGATAAAGTTTATTGACCCCTTTGGAAGATTTCTGTAAATTCAGATGGTCTGAAGTCAACCCTGGTTTTATTTATTCAGTTTTCCACTTCCTGTTTCAGAGCCACGGACTCTGTCAAAATAAAAGCACAACAAGTTGGTTTCTGATTTTCAGGTCTCTCTTGTAAACGAGTCCTCGAGGCTCAATGGGATTAACCTGTCTACATAAAGGTTGAATGATGTCTTAAAATTACAACTTTAATTATTTAAACAAATTGAATTAATTGTAGTCTTTTTCTTGTTTCTCCAGGAGGTTACTACCTGACCAGCGCCTACGGAGCCATGGCGCTCATCAAGAACTTCCAGGAGGAGCAGGCGGCCCGGGTTCTGAGCTCCGAGGCCCGGAACACCCTGCACCAGTGGCACCGCCGGCGGACCACCCAGCGCTCGGTGCCGTCTGTGGACGACTTTCAGGTACCTCACCTGAGCTGAGCCCACCTTGAACATCCAGGCAGTGAGTTGGTACCAAATCCGGTCTGAACCGAAACATGCATGAAACCAGCTGCAGAACTTTACTAACATGGTCTGGAGCTGAGGACCAGTCTCTGGTGGACGGCGCCCCCCGGTGGACCAGCTGCATGTCTCGTTTAGATGAAACTGCATGGATTCTCTTTCTGCTTCAGCTCTGCTGCTCTCGTGCTGTGGGGAATTCATCCGGGCCTTTTTTTTTTTTTTGTCTTTGTTCTGCAGAACTTCCTGCGCGTCGCCCTGCAGGAGCTGGGCTCAGGCTGCACCGCCAAAACCCTGCAGGTGCACCCGTACACCACCACCGAGGAGGTCTGCTCCCTCTGCGCCTACAAGTTCAAGATCCCCGACCCGGAGAACTACGCCCTGTTCCTGGTCACCGACGACACGAGCCAGCAGCTCGCCCCGGACACGAACCCCCAACGGATCAAAGCCGAGCTGCACGGCCGGCCGCTCGCGCACGTCTTCCACTTTGTCTACAGGAAGGTGTCCAACCTGAACCTCTGCGTCCCGGCCGTCCTGCACAACGGAAACTGCCTCCCAGGCGAGCAGTGACCCAGAGCCGCGTCGCGGTGAAGTTGTATGTTTTTAACGATGGGTTTGAGGACGTCGGATTGTTTGGACAGAGTTTTGACTGAAAAAAGGACAAAGGCTGTCTTTGAGTTGTCCACTCATTCACTGCACAGTGTCCTGGTCACATGCTTCGATGTGACGACATCGGTCCAATTAGGCCCGGGCCGACATATCAGGCTAATCTAGGCTAATGCTAACAATAGTGGAACAATTTCAGAATAAAGTTCCCCAATGAAATTAATCACCTGCAGCTCATACAAGAAGCCCAGATGGTGTAGAGGTAGGTGATCTGGGACCAGTTCAACTTCCCCGCCATGTCGCTGTGGTGTCCTTGAGCAGGACACCCAATCCCTTATTGCTCCCTGGGCGCCCACATAGCTGCCCGCTGCTCCACCTGGGTGTACCTCAGGTGTGATGGGTTAAATCCAGAAAACTAATTTCAGCATAGAAACATACAATGATGACGACACACAGCACTTTCTTCTTCTTTCATAATCTCATCACCAGATTAGAATAATCTGTAGAAACCTCAGAGCTCAAAGGACGAGGCTGAAGGTCGTGACTTTCGGGCATTAAAACAGGATAAAGAACCGCTGCCGTCTTCTCTGGACCAAAGCTCACTTAAAATGGACCAGAACTGTTCTGCGGTCAGCCAGATCCAAATCTGAAGTTCTGTTTGGGAACCGCACAGTCCAAAAGTCTGCCTCTCTGATGGTATGGGGGTGCATTAGTGCCTCTGACATGGGCAGTTTTCCCATCTGGAAAGACTTCATGCAGAAAAATATAAATAGGTTTTAGAACAACGTCCAGCACAAATGTCCCATCAAGACACCATACTGTCCACTGTCCCCTGTCCCCTCTGTGGTCCACTTCAAAGTGTCCATGATGAGTGAGTGAACATTTCAAACGCAGCCAGAGAAAGTGAGATCTGTTTGCAGGTTCTGGTTCTCGACAGAGCTCAGAAGAATCAAATAATTTAATGTTTAACTGCTGTTTTCTTCGGACACAGGCCCAGATTGAAACTCTACGCTAAAACGTTTATTTAACGAGCAAAAAGAACTTTTGTAAAACACGTTTTTATTCCTCGACAGTTGCTGGTCGACTGCAGATTTTATTTCTGTGTACATTTATTTTTATATCCTTTAAAGTTACGCGGTTTGTTGCGTGTTTACTGGACTCGACTGGACGTATTTATACCAGAAGTCGGATTAAAACTTCGCTTTTTCTGTCGTAACAAAAAAAAAACAACTGAAAGTTGATGTAAAATTAAAGGTTTTCTGAACAAGACTTCCTGACTCCTGCTGGGGTTTTATTGTCATGTTTGTTTCCAGTTCGTTAAATAACCGCAGTAACGCAGGTCTTATTTACACACGGAGCTTTAACGGCGCTTCCTGTTCGTTAATTGACGCCGTTTGGCTTCAATTACAGCTCCTGTAATAAAAACCAAAGTAAACCTCCGTTTATAGAGAGATCCAAAATAATGGAGTGAGCCGTTCTCTTTACGAGGGAAAATACACACCCTGAAACAAACCAGACCTTTCAGGAAGTCAGTAATTCAAGCAAATGTAGAAAACGCTGTTGTCTAGAATTAAAGATCACAGCAGGGATTAAAAAGGGATAAATATTTAAATGACAAGAACTGGAGGAAAAGAAAGACTAATCTTAAAAGTAGACAGGGTGTCAGCCTCACAGAAGTTGGTTCTAGAGAGGAGCCTGATAACTGAAAGATCTTTTTTCCATTCTGCTTTTGGAAACTCTAGGAACCACAAGTAAACCTGCAGCCTGAGAGTGAAGTGCTCTGTTAGGAAAGTATGGAACAATAAGATCTCAAATATAAGATGCAGCTAGGTTGTTGAGGGCTTTGTAGGTTAGAAGTAAGATTTTGAATTCTATTCTGGATTTGACAGGGAGCCGATGGAGAGAAGCTAAAACTGGAGCGATGATCTCTCCCACTAACTCCAGTTAAGACTCTGGGAGCAGCATTTTGGGTGATGCATCACCTCAAGGGAGCAGTTTCACAAATAAAACCTAATTAAATTGAAATTAAATTATACCATTTCTAAAAAAAAAAAAAAGTTTAAATTGCAACTAAATGTTTAATCTGTAAATAAATGTGTTGGAGCTTTTATTTTTCATACAACCAAAGGTGTGAAGACAAACATTTATGATTTTTTTTTTTTAATCTTTGAATTTGTCTGAACAAACTGAATGAACGAAGTTGACATTTTCAACTAGCTGTCTCCAACATGTTCTTGTTTTTAAAGTTTGGTTCATTAATAGTAATTTATCCCTTTTTTAATTATTTAAACAAACTTTATTGTTTAAATAAAGATTTGTAAATATAAATGAACAGTGATGTCAATAAACAGAATAATTAGGATTACCTGGATTATAAATTAAATGTACTAATTTGAAGGTAAATGCACGTTTCGGTTTTATAAATATATAAATACGTAGGTTTTCTTTTCAGAATTTAGTTTTGTCTCTACTGTTCTGATCATTTCAGCTTTCAACAAATGTTTTGCTATTTTAGTAACTTTAACTTTTAGCAATTGTTCTAATGGTTTTATATTTTGGCTAATGTTCTGATAGTTTTAGTCTTCAGCAATTGTTTTACTAATCTTAGTTAACAGCTACATTTTTACTGGTTTTTGTGTTCAACTAAATTTAGCTTGTGGCTTCTGTTTTGCTAGTTTTATCAACTGTTTACTTGTTTTAGCTTGTAGTTACTGATTTGCTAGTTTTTGCTTTTAGCTAATTTTACCCTTTAGCTACATTTTTGCTAGTTTTAGCTTTTAGCTAATTTTACCCTTTCACTTCAGTTTTTGCTCATTTTTGCCTTTAGCTAATTTTACCCTGTAGCTTAGTTTTTTTGAGTTTTAGCTTTTAGCTAATTTGACCCGTTACATTTTTTGCTAGTTTTAGCTTTTAATTTTACCCTTAAGCTACATTTTCCAGTTTTTTGTTTAAGCTATTGTTTTCATAACTTTATATTTTAGCCAGTGTTCTAATGGTTTTAGATTTTAGCTAATGGTCTGATCATTTTAGCCTTCAGCAACTGCTTTACTAATCTTAGTTTTTAGCTAAATTTTTACTGGTTTTAGTGTCCAGCCACTCTGTAACTAATTTTAGCTTGTAGCTACTGTTTTGCTAGTTTTAGCAACTGTTTGCTTGTAGCTGCTGATTTACTAGTCTTAGCCACTGTTGAAGAACTTTATATTTTAGCTGCTGGAGGTTGGGCCTGCAGGCGGGTCATCCCATCCTCTCCTGGACTCTCCTGGGCACGAAAGGGACACATAGACAAGCAGCAGGACTGGATCCTTGGAAGGTCAAAAATTTTAATAAATAAATGGTTGCTATTAGCAAAATGCTTTCCTGTATTTGTCCTGATGTGTGTTCAATAATCCAGGTAGAAAAATCTAAATAAAATAAATGACCTGGCGTCCAGAGGACCTGACTTTATTATTTTTTTATCTTCTATACAAGTATCAAAGTTCATGCTCAGTCATCCAGGTACAAAATCCAATAATGGTCAATCAGGTCATCTGGACAGTTTCTCTTTTTGTGGAAAGATGTTTCGCCTTCTATCCAGAGGGCTTCATCAGTCTGAGGAGTCCCAATTAAACCGTTTTCCCCACTAAGCAGTATACTCCTTTAGTAGATCAACCAGTTTGCTGGTGATTAGATGGTTTCTGGGGGCTGTCCTGTCCCCCATCGACTCATGCTCAATCATCCAAGGAACAAAATCCAATAATGGGCTGTCAGGTATACTGGTATTTGATTTCTCTGGTTGACTTGCTGCTGCTGTTGCTTTATTATTTTTATTTTTTGGTTGATGCCTGCCAGCTTTCCTATGTATGTCCTAATTAAATTAGGATATGCTAGTAAATGTCTTTTTTACCTGAAGCACGTCTTGCCTCTAATTTTCTTCTTGGAGTTTACCAGAACGCTTAATTTCCATGTTAAAAACAATCACAGAATCTTTCAGAGGGGCACAGAAGCCCCCCCCACCCCCCCCCCCAACTACAGGCATCTGTTGAGAGTTTGCAGGTATGTGTGTGGTGACGCTGGTTTGTGTTTAATGGTTCCAGACTAGATGTAATAGCTGCCCAATATCTTGTGACTCAGTGTTAATGGCAATTAGTTCAGTTTGTTGAGTAATGTGTTAGCTCACCGCTAAATGTAAGAGGATGGTTAAATTTATTGATAAAACAGATTTAATGTGCAAATGCATCATATAATACAGTTGTAATACTGGATGTAATGGTTTGAGTCGGGGACGATTAAAAACCAGTCCTCGCAGAGACACGAACAAGGACACACGCAGTGATGAGTCTCCGTCTCACTTCTGTCCAATTTCAGACACGATGATTCTCCCGAACAAAAATATAATCTGTTAGTAGTGATTGTACCGGTCCGATATCTGCTACACATGCTAATATCACCTGATTGTGCTTTTTGATTCCATCTGATGGAGGCTTCCGGTGCCACGGAGGACCAGTTGGGACCAGTTAGGACCAGTTAGGCGCCAAACAGCACAGTTTCAGCTGTCATCCAGCTGCTGTTGACACTTGAAACTGGAAACGGGCCGTTGTTGAGACATGCAGGTGCTCCTGAGCCGCCCTCAGGACGGAACATTTTGTTCTGTAACTTCCATCCTTAACGGCAGGCCAGGTGCAGCTCTGCAGATTGGACCCGTTCGTTTTCAGCTAGCAGTCAAAACACGAGGCCTGCATGTGACGGAACAGACACCTGCTTTGTTTGGAGTTTGGAACAATAGACGTTGTATTATTTATTATTCTGCAATAAAAACAATCATTACACTCCCACAATCTCATTCTATTCCTCAAATGAACTCAAACTTAGTTCAGTTTCCTTTGCACCTTCATACAGGTGGTTCCTGACTGAGACAGGGATTTGGTCCTCACAGACCACGACACCTGAGAGAGTCACCTGCTCATTGGACAGGAAGGGACAGGTGT